CCCTGGCCCTTCAGTGGGTGAGCGGCAGGGCAGCTCCCCGTGAGCGCAGAGCCTTAACTCAGGCTCCACTGCAGCTCCTGACAGGCAGAAGCACCTCCCTGGGGCCAGGTGTTCAAATTAGCAGCTAAAACAACCAGCTGGGCCTTCCAACATGTCTTCTGGGTGGGTCTGCTGTTGGGGGAAGGTCTGTAGCTGGTTTGGGGAGGGGTAGCTCTTAGCAACTAAAAACCGAGGCAGCTCATTCTGCGACAGCGCCACAGCCAGCTCCATTTCGACACGTTTGAGGCCGATTGGCTGTGACCAAATCATCTTTCATCACGGTTGTAATGACTTTCCCAGTTCAGAAAGGTGAGGTTTGGAGCCTGCTGTCTAGGCTTTAAGTCTTTCTTGCTCTGCACCATTATAACAACTGCAGATGTCTTTTTAAAGAGGTATTGGCAATGGAGCACGCCCACCTTGGTGTCAGGACGTGGTGTCGATTCACCCGTGAGGCCGGTGTGCCGCGCAACGCTGAGAGGAGGACAAGGTAAGTGAGCACAGAGATGGGGCTGAAATGTTGGGGGCCAAATCCTGCCCAGCCTCTGGGGCACCTGTGTGATGTTGTGTTGGATGCATTACTGGCCCCAAAAAAAGGGAGTTTGTAAGAAATAGGACCAAAACTTGAACACGGTCACTGATGAACATCAGTGTAATCATGCCTGAGGGGCTGGCAGGAGATGTGATGTAGTTTTTCTAACTGTGAACGTACAGGAAAAGCTGTGAAGTCATTATTGCATGGAGGGGAATGACCAAAATATTCAGCAACTACATAAAATGTCTGTAGTACAGGTCTGCTGGGGAGCGGCTGGGGGAACTGGGGGGGTTCAGTCTGGAGAAGAGGAGGCTGAGGGGAGACCTCCTGGCCCTCTGCAACTCCCTGCCAGGAGGGGGCAGAGAGGGGGGATGAGTCTCTGGAGCCAAGGAGCCAGCGCCAGGCCCCGAGGGAATGGCCTCAAGCTGCCCAGGGCAGGGTCAGGCTGGCTCTGAGGAAGGATTTCTTTCCAGAAGAGGGTGTTGGGTGTTGGAATGGGCTGCCCAGGGCAGGGGGGAGTCCCCGGGATCCCTGGAGGGGTTGAAGAGTCGGGCTGAGCCAGCGCTGAGGGATCTGGGGGAGTTGGGAACAGTCAGGGTGAGGGTCATGGCTGGGTTGGAGGAGCTGCAAGGGCTTTTCCAACCCAGATGGTTCTGGGATTTTGTAAATAAATGAAAGATAACACCGGGCCATCAAGAGCCAGAAGTAGCTCAAATCCAGCACATTTTCCCGGTGTGGGGCTTTGGCTGTGCCACCAGCACCTTCCCCCAGGAGGAGGGGCCGTGCCCTCCCCGCTTTTGGTGCTGCTGTGGCCTGTGCTGCCTGCTCGGCTTTGCCGGGCAGAGCTGTGGGGAGCTGAACGCGCTGAGCAAGAGCCAAGACGGCCTCTGGGCAAGAGGCTGTTGCAAATGTCAGTACTGATACGTGGTTTGTGCTCAAAAGCAGTGATGAAAACTGTGTGAGCAGCCCTGTGCAGGGGGTCAGTGGGAGGTGTTGACACAAGCTGCCCTCAGCTCTGGGAGAAGCTTCCAGCCCTCCTCAAGCTCGGCGGCTCCTCCCAGAGCCATTCTGGTGAGGTTGGGCAGGGAACCAGCAGCTCATGGAGACGCTGGTCACTGCAGAGGAACCCGGGAGCCGTTTCTCAGCTCCTGTGAGGGGAGCACAAAGCCGACCGACCCCTAGGTCTCCCCACGCACCACTCGCGTGCTTAAACCTCACCCACCCGGCCAGCCTTTGCGATATGCTTACCGCCATGGGGGGGTGGGGGGTATGTGTGCATGTCCAAGAGCTGATCAGCTCCAGACTGAGCTGGGAAGAGAACTGGCAACAAAGGGCAACCAAAAGGACTCACTTCAGGCCTAAAAGGAAGGGCTGGAGCTCAGCTGTAGGGAACTGCGAGGACTTCGTGGAAGTCAAGGCTGCTCCTTTCAAAGGAGAGAGGGTAAAAGTAGATTTGACTTCAGCTGTAAAAGCAGAAATAATTCAAAATAACAGTGATCTCAAGGTTACTTCTGTGGATGAGTTAAAACCCTCAGCTATCATTTTCTTCTTATCTGTCTTAGTTCTTTCAACTAAAAAGTCCTGAATCCATGCAGAAGCCAAAATACATTCTTCTATTGAGGAGACCCAGTTTGTTTCTTTCCACTGTGTCACAGGATGCCATCACTCACCGTGACAACTACCCAGGTGCTTTCCTGCTTCACAAAATGGTTATTTTTTTTAAAGACTGACTTGTTTTCAAGAGAGGGATTTCTGGTTCCTCGGTATTGTAATATATCAAAATATAAAAGACAAAAATGGCAAGTTAGAACATGTTGCCCTGATGCAGCAAAGCCCATGGACGCTGACGGAGCTCAGAGATGGGAGGTGCTTTGCACTGGGTATCGCTGGGTGAGTGTTTTTGTGGGCAAAGCCTCAGTTATCAGAAGCTTTTTATGGCAGGGGCTGAGGCCAGGGCTCATGGGAGAGTCACAACATGGCTTGAGATGGAGAAGTTTTTCTGGTAGTTTGTAATGCAGTGGAAGAAGAAAAATCCATTTGTAGCTACACAATTCTAGAAGCCAATTCTTTATTAAAAGATCTTTTGAGCATTTCAGTACAGACTCATCTGCTCTACTGTAGCTTTGAGTTGAAGACAAACATTTTTTTAAAAAAAAAAAAAGGCAAGATGGACACCTCTATAAAATTAAGTAGATGAATTACAGACGCTGATTACCCCAAACATAAACATCAAACCACAGGAATTGTACTCAGTCCTAAGGCAAACTATGTAACAAATGTACACAATTGCACTTCAGTCTGTAGAAAGTGATGAGAAACGCCTCTGCCAGGCACTCCCTACCCTGGGTCAAGAGCACACCCTGCTGGGTGTCTCTGTGTTGAGCACAGAAGCTTTGGAACCAAGGAATACCTGGAGTGTTCAGCTTGTTGGGTGAGCACCCAGTGGGCCTAGCAGCACCTGGCTGAATTTCTCTAAGAAAAATTAATGTTAAACCAGTTTCACTGGTATTTGTTTTGTGCTTCTCCCTTAGCTAGAAATCCCAATGCCTTTGAAGACGGCCCATCCACCTGCTGAGACAGAAAAGGGGGTCTGGTAACCCTGATCCTGTGGAAGTCAACAGAAACCCTGCGGTCTGTCTAAGCTCCTCGCAGTTTTCATTTTCCCCAAGTATGTAAAAAGCAGTAATATTGCTGATTTCTCTCCATGCACCCGTTCTCAACCTCAAACTCCGCTCCAGGATTATCTTCCAACCAGAAAGGACTGATTGCATTGAGGACCCTGGATCAAGAGGATTGTTGGATCTCATCCCCACTGCAGCCCCTTGCACCACACTCCCCTTCCAGTGAGACCAGCTCTCCACAGTCTAAGACTGAAAATGCTATTTTAGTGAGTTCCCTCTCCAAAGCGTGGAAGCCCCCTTTCCAGGTGGTGGGGAGACTGAGCTGGAACTCCAGCTGTAGCCTCAAAACATCTGCTAGTAAATCCTCCAGCCACACAAGGCCCCTCCCATACCTTCTGTATCCTCCCAGTACAAATGGGTCCAAATGCTGGTCAGCATTTTTGGCCTTTCTGCACCCACAGCCCACCCTCCTGCAGTGCCTGTTCAGCGAGAAATACCACTGCCCCCAGGGGGGCACGCAGGCAAGGAAATACCCTTATCAGATCCAGTAGAGGTCAGAATCCATCCCTAAAATTCAGGGTGGACCTGACCACGGAGGCCATCACACAGGTCACTCATGGATGTGCAACGGCTGCCGCAACCACGTGAGTCACACGAGTGAAATCTCCCTGGAACAGAGAGTGGCTGTTTTTTTGATACAGCAAGGCCTGATTGACTTTATTAGATCACTGCCACGAACATGCCAATGCAAGTGCTACAGCTCATCATGGTGGCAGCATCTACTGGTTGGCTAAAAACGTGCCCTGTAAGCCACGCCACTGCCCGAACCACCCTGGGCCTTGACAGGCAAATTCTGTACGACTACGCACCCCAGAAGTAACTGAATCAGACAGTGGGACTAATTTCCCAAATAATCTCAACTCCTGGGCAAAGAAACACATTGAGTGGGTGGATCACATCCTCTGTCACCCAAAAGCCTCTGGAAAGATCGAGTGCTATAATGGACTGTTAAGGACTGTTGAGGGCATTGGGCAATGGGATTCAAATTCAGCAGAAGCCGCTTGTCTGGTTAACACCAGAGGATCTGCGAACCATCCTGGTCCTGCCCAGACAAACCGCACTGCAGTTTAAATTCTTTCTCCCACCCATTTTCAGGCACAGCATTTCCATGTCAGGAGACATCCCTTCACTGCAGCACACAATTCTTAATTTAGCCTATGCTTGACGACACCCACAAGTCCTTTCCAATCTAAGGTTTTTTGTGATTGTATAAAGGCAGTAATAGCAACCGCCAAGACACCTTTATCGAACCATCTTTGATTTTGCAGAGCTTTGTCTTATCCCTTCCTTCATCAAATTTAAAAGCTATGGATGGATCTTTCCTCTGAGAGGATAACCACTGTTAGAAGAAATAAAAGCCCCCAGCCACTTGTTTTGTATCAGGTACCCAGATAGGGATAAAACAAAAAACACCCCCAAACCTCTAAAGAGAAGAAAAACTGTGATTTTATGTTACATCTGGGTCAGCGTTTAGAAGCTCCTCTAACTAACTGCTAGGTCATTCCTCAGAGCACCTGCTCTTCATTTGCAGTGTTTTTCATTAGCAGCCTGCATTTAATACTGTGTCTTCAGCTTGGCAAGGATCCAGCACTGCTCCAAAAAAAATCCACGGCTGGCCAAACAGAAACGAGCAGCATCTGGAACAGGACAGTGTTGATGGAGATTGTCCAAATCCCTGCAGCACGGCTCAGGCCTGTCTGACACTCGATACTAAAGCAACTCCCTCTCCAGAGCTCGACTCTAACCCGGAGTAAGGCTGCTGCAGGCTGTGGTTAACCCTTTGCTAGGAACTAGCAGACTTCTGTTTCAGCAGGTCACTGCTTTGGCAGGAGAAAAAAAAAGCTGTCAGCTGTTCATGCTGCAGCTCAAACCGGTCCCGACCACATTCCAGAAGCAGCTCTCTGACCCTCTCAGGTGTGACCTTTGCTCAAGTGCTCAGGGGAGGGTGCGTTTTGCTTTTTTTTTTTTTTTTTTTTGCCACAAATGGGTTGTGGGAATCTTCAAACTTGCCGTAGACTGAGAACCTGCTCTCGCTGGTAACAGCTAAAAGTGCCCCTCTGCCTCAGGTAAGCAAGGCTGGGCCTAAGACCAGGACCAGAAAACATTCTGTTCTCAGGTGAAGACTGAACCCCAGCCCAGGGGAAAGTCTGAGAAGAGAGAAGGGATTATTGTTGTAAACCAACAATGCGCTCGTTATGGAGGCCTGGGCAACAGATTTACACACACTGACTCACAAGCTCTTTGTACTTATAAACCGAATACACACATTAAATACACCAGGTAACGGGATGAAAACAGCGAACGCTAAACCCTTAATGCTCTCAGTACGACACTGTGCTCTGCTGGGTGCTGTCAGGCCTTCGACCGGAGGCAAGGGAAAACGTGGAATGAAAGGAAAGGGCTAAAAGTAATGAAGGTGAGTACCTCAAAATGAAAAATCAGGCCAGGCACCTCAGAAATATTTTTCCTTATCATGAGGTGATCTAGTGTCAGACAACTTTTTTGTTTTGTTTTTACGATTGAGTTGTTGGAAAAATCCACAGAATGAAAAATCTTGCAGCAAGCCCGAGAAGAGCCCAATTCTTCTCTGCCTGTATTTCATCGTGACAGGGTGACTTGGAGGTCAGAGGAACTGCACACTTGATGTGGAGCGGAGAAAGGAGGAGGCCTGGATGAGGGGACAGACCTTCACCAGGTGCCAGCACATCCCCTGCAGCCCGTGTCACAGCGCCGATATGATCTGGCTCAGAGTTCTGCCCCCCCCCACTGGACACAGAAAGGGAAGCGGAACTCCTTCCTTGAAGTATAAAACTACCTTCTGGTGTCTGAATGTCTGACACCTGCTAGAAACAGTACCCAAAACTTACAAAAATTATGTTATTGTAATGCTCTCTCCTTTCTCTAGCTTGCTTCTTTTGGGCATTTCACAGCTCCCTGTACACCATGAAGTGAGACGAGACATCATGACTAGCTGAAAGAAAACTTCAGCACACGGTGGGAAAATCCTCATCTATTTAGGAAGAAATAAACTCTCCTGTCTTACACATCTTGATTAGTAAACTCTGAAATTAGCTGTTGCTTTTTTTTTTTTTAAGAAAGAAAAAAAAAAAATTCAAGTTGATGGGAGTCTGGATAGCAAAAACGTGCAACTTTTTCCCTCTATGCTCCTGTCAGGCACAGGCACACCAAAGAGATGAGAGTGCACAGGGCTGCTGCGTGGTCCTCAGAGACCGTACAGGCTTTGGACCCAGTGGAGAAATGTTCCCATCTGTCCAAGGGCACGTGGCTCCAGCCTGCTCTGTCTCCTTGGAGCGAGAGAACCATGGATGATGGCACCAAGAACATAAAGCCCCACAACACAGCCCCGTCTCAGGAAGCTGTTCAGCTGCGCCAGATGCCACTGGCATCAGAACTTAATGCTTCTGAAACTTCTCCTGTGCTTTTCACCTGAAGCACGGGGGAGTTTTGGGTGGCTGCACAGCAGAGAAAGACAACAAACCCACTTTTTGTCTACCTAAAAGAACACTGTGCCTTTGTTCCCCCATGTATTAACGTACAAAGAAGCCAGCGTGTGGCTCAGATTCGGACACAGCTGCCAGGTAACTGCTGGGTAATACAAGCAGGTATGAAACAATTGTGCAACACCTCCAGCCTCAGGTGAAAGCCCAGAGCCTCATCTACGTGAACAAAGGGATGTGCAGAGCTGTCGGGACAACAAGCCCAAAGAAATAGCTGCCTCAACGCCGACTGGAATAAATAAATGCAGCAGAACACGGTCACCCACAGGCGAGGACAGGGCATTATGCACTGAGGGAGCAGTGGCATCTTCTACAACACTGGGAACGGAGGAGATGGACAAGACACTGAGTCAACCTATGAACAGATGGATGTGTTCTCCTGTCGCACGCCGTGTCCAGATTATGGCAGGAAAAGATGGCTGTGGCAGGTCTTCACGCCCACCTCCCACTGGAAGCAAAACTGCGGCTGAAGGAGAAGTTGATCTCGCTGTTTTTGTACTTTCCCCACGCTCCAAACGGCACTATGACAACAGTGCTGTTGTCTTCAGTGCCAAACTGCATCGCCTGAGAGAAGAAACAAATTGTCAGCATCGTGGTCTTGCTTGGAAAAGGAAACAAGTGCCCAGCTCCACGTGGGACAGCATGCCCAAGACTTTTTTTTGTCCCTTCCCAGCCCTGACGCTGCATTCTGGTATGTCCCCAGCTTCCCACAGGATGTGCCACCATCCAGAGCCCTGGTGAGAAACCAGCTGTTCCCATTTCTGCTGATGATGTTTCAGCACAGGAATAAATGGCAGTGACACTCCCAGGCAGTTTGGTGGATCGCGAACGAAGGAAGTTAATTGAAATGATGCCCAGCAAGGATGTGGCAAGGCCCAGGGTAAGGAAAAGGCTAGCTGGCAGCACTAGGGAATCACACAATCACCTTGGTTGGGAAAGCCCTTGCAGCTCCTCCAGTCCAACCACGAACCTCACCCTGAGCGTTCCCAACTCCCCCAGATCCCTCAGCGCTATGAAAGTCTCAACCAGCACAGTTCAGTTCACTGGGATGTGTGGATACGTACTTGGGGGTTTTTTTAAAACGAAACCAACCCAAGACCAGCAATGAGCATTTGATGCCAAGAGAAGCCCTGGCAGTACCTGCTCAGTAACAACGTGGGCAGCCTCAGCAGGATCGTGGCACTGTTTAATGAAGTCACAGATCTCCTGACTGTTCACCATGAAGTTAATACCGTCCGTAGTAAGAACCAGGAAGCTGTCATCTGCATGATGCAACTGCAATAAAGGCACACAGTAAGCACCACGATGGGGCAAGTGCTGCAAGGCAGATTAACTGCCTTCATTATTTTTTTTTTCACTCTCTGTTGCAAAATGCTTTTTCCTGTGGGTGCCGTGTGCTCTCCTGCTTTCTGTGCAAGGACTAACTTGGAACCCCCAAACCCTCAGCTAGCCAAAGGCTGCCCCTTGAATCCTCAAGCACACCCATCAGCCACACACACTGTTCCCTGTCCTGGAGGGGAACATTTTAAGGTGTTTCCAGTACTAGGAAGCAGCCCTCTGAATCCACTGAGGCCAGAAGACCAGTTCCTTATGTTACCCAATAAAGAAAATGCTTCCTTAAACTGAGGATTTCAAGGAAGACATGATAGCACTGCAGTCACCTCCCTAAACCCCTCAGGCCTAATGGGTTGTGTTTAATTAGCTCTAAGGGAATATAAGTCCCCTGGGAGGTGCACTGGGGAAAAGTAACCAACAGAACACGAGCTGAGAGGAAAGTCTTCCTGCAAAAGCGAAGGTGACTGTGCCAAACGCCTTTTGGGTGCTTAATTTCTTTTCTGGACAACTACAGAGCCATGGTAAGATGCATGCAGTTGCCCTTTCCTCCTCCCTTCCTCCCAAGTGTGCAAACCTCTCTGTATTCTACTCTTTTTGATGACAGCCCATCCATATCCCACCTAGTTCTTGGTGATGGTTTTGTATCAGCATTAACCCCAAAATCATTCCTTTGACTACAAGCCCCAGACAGACTAACCCCTCTGTGTTACAGTAATGGGTATCACGTGTTATCTTTCTGCCCCCATCCTATATCGTACTGTGACAAATGGGGTTTAGAAGTTGAGCTGGTTGACTTTAGTACTGGGGCCAGATTCTTTCCTGTCCTGTTAGCGTTAATCTGAAATGGCTTAATTAGAATTGCTCTCCAGTTGCTTCACCACAAATAAAAAACAACACTTGGCCATTAGGCTTCACCTGGGTACCACCACCTGCATCAAACTGCTATGATGCCCCTTAGGCCGAACGTTGGTCTCCCCATGAACCAGGCCTTCTTTTACCTGAACCCTTTTTGTTTCTGGCTGGGCTATGACACCACTGTTTTTAAGATCCAAATCTCCTATGCTCCGCGTCATTGCGAGTCTACCGTTCACATGAGGTTGCCCCAAACTGTTCCAGGCAATGAAGCCACCGCACTTCCTAATCCTGTCCAGAGGCACAAAAGAAAAAGCAAATATGAGTTACTGCTTCACACCATTACCCCTGTCTCTATCTGCAATTTCTGTCACTAGCTACTAGTGCAGAACGAGGTACAGAGGATCTCAGCTGGGAGACTGAGGGTTGGCTTTTGCTGTTTGAAGGGCTCCACAGAAGGGACGTGGCTTGGCAGGCTGTCCTGACCAAGGAAACATAGTGCATTGCCTCAGGCCTTGGCTCGCACTTGGCAGTCTTTGAGAGGTCTAACCCATGTGGTCAGAGCTCTGTACCAAGCCCTAGCTACGCCGATCTTACTGCCGAGACAGTTTACACACACACAGGGCTTTCCAAATCCCCAGTCCTCTGAAGAGAACCACATGGATTCACTGGAGCTGTGCTGCTTTCTGACAGCTCAGAGGTGGTCTCGTGGCGTTACGTTCAACACTCTGCTTTCTTTCAGGCCCAACCCAGCAGCAGAACACAAACACATCCTGACCGAGGCCGTGCCCTGGGAAGCCACGTCATCAGCCGAGAGGTACCTTTCCTTCTCCTCCTTTCTCTCCGGAGTATGGTCAATGGTGAGCTTCATGGCCTTTCCCTTTCGACACAGCAGAGCACGACTGTCTCCCACACTTGCCACAACCAGCTCAATACCATCCCGGAGCAGAGCCACTGTTGCAGTGGTCCCAGAGTTCGTCAGAGTTGCTATAAACATCATATCAAAGAGAGAGGTTTTAGCACTGCATCGAAGCATGGGACCACTTATAACAGCAACAGTTTCAGTTGGTAAAATAAAGAAAACTTGTGCTCTACGTTACCAGTAACTGCTTTTAAGTTTAAACTAAATCTACATAAAAAAAAAAAAGACAGCAAACACGCATGCATGTAGAACTCGGGGGAGAGAGAGGAAGTGGAAAGGATAAGTGTTTCTGTGCAACAACATGGCTCCATGCAAAGAGGGCAAGTGGGATAAAACTGGTACCAGGTACAGTGGCTTCCTTTCAGCTTGTAGCTGGGAGTTTTTCTGTCCCACCAGTTCACCTTAAATTACAGAGTTATTGTCCTTATCCTCGGGCACAGTGACTGCAGGGGTAGCCCACCATAAAGCTGACAGCTCTTGCCTTCTGTTGGGTGGTGAAGTGGGCAGTTGAGTAATTGTAGCTCCACGTAGTTCACCAGAAGAGAAATCCTAGCCTTTACACCAGTCTGCAGCATCCTCCTGTTGCTGTCGGAGTTGTTACCATCTCCCTCTGCTTCCCCCAGCCTCGCCAAGAGACAAAGGCTTCAGCCAGCAGGCCACTGGCTTTTTTCAGAAAGGGATGCTGCTCCCTTCAGACCCTGTCAACTTGCTGGAGGTCCCGGCACATAGGTGAAGCTGGATTCTGCCTTGCCTTGTGCCTGCAAACCAATTCTGGCAGTGGCTTGGCGGGCAGCCTGCCCTGGGCAGCGCTGGGCTGTCTTGATAGGGGACTGCCCAGAGGGCAAAACAAAGCCCTCGGTGCTGTCCTCCTGCTCTTACAGGGTAAGGGAATGAGCTGAGCTCGCTGACTATGTTCAGGGACCCGGCTGGATTAACTGGTGCAAGTAAATGTAAGGGCTTCTCACTTCAATTTCTACAACACTCTGGAAAAAAAAAAAAAAAAAGGGTGTGGACAGGAGACATGCGAGTCTGACTATTTCAGAAAAGGTCTGTCGTTTTATCTGTGGTGAAGAAAATGCCAGAAGAGCTGTCCAGCTTTCGTTTTTTGCTTGCTTTTTGAAAGGAGCAGTCTCATTTTACAGTGAAGTGTGTTCCCTTCTTGCAAATTATACGAAGGTAACCCAGTGAGAGGTGTCAGGAAAGCAGCAACTCCTGCTGACTTGAACTACTACAGTTAAGCATCTGGCCAGGACAAGCAATTGCCCATAACACATTTGCATTCACAGGCAGTAAAAATCCCCTTGAAAGGCCCTCTGTAGGTCTCCTGCATCCTGGGATTTTCCAGTTTTTCCAGGTTTTAAAAGGAAGACAGTTTGAGAGGGGTTTGGGGTTAATTTAGGAATGAGAATCCTCAGTTATATTCCTGTTTTCAGGTGACTAACAGTTAAAGGCCTTTCCAGCACACTCCTGCAGAGCTCAGCTATAATTCCATGCACTCCTACCCCTGCAGCCCTGAGCCTGGGGAGGTGGGATAGCTCTGAGACAGGGCAACATGTTTGAGCCCGAGCAACGCCAGCCAGCCCCACGGCGTAACACGCCAGCGCTCTGGGATCTCGGTGACCTCTTTCCCCAACCCTGTGAGGTCTTAGCACCCTGTAAGTAAAAGAGGGTTGGGAGTAAACTGAAGTGCCCAAAGCCCTGAAAGATGCATTGAGCCTTGTTGTGCAGCAAAAGAAGCAGTGAGTTGATGAATCAAAAAAAAAAACCCCAACCCAAACCAAAACACCTCACAAAACGGTCTAAACTCAGCTTGTGTTATTCTTTTAAAACAGGTATTATTACTGCAGTGAGGACTTGGTTTAGCTGTACACTTAACCAACACATCAATCTGAAGATCAACCATGGTGACCTAGGCCAAACCTTCGACTACAGCTGCCACACAGGCCACGATATTCAAAACTATTTAGATGCTGGTAGCTTCTGACTATTCAGGTAAGCACTGACATCTTGTTTATTTGAAGCAAGGACTAGTCCAGTGCAGGCTCACTTTGAGGCACGTTATGAAAGTAAGACGCTAACAAGTACCAGTGCGATTAGAAATTTTAGTAGAACCAGTAAAATACCTGTTTTAGCCAACAGTTAAAAGATGTGAAATGGAGAACCTATGTAAAACTACCTCTTTATTTTACAGAAAATACATTCTATTTAGATGTTAAAATTAATGCAGAACTTCTGCTGTTCTCCCATTTCATTCCTTGGTTTTGGAACTCTGCTGACAAACATAAGCAGTTTCTGAAAAAGTTAAGATCCGTAGTCTTTAATTCTTAAATGATGGGAAGCATTTGGACGTTCAGGTGAATCTGTATCTCTCAAGTGCAAACTCTCAAAGAGCTGCTATCACAAGAATCAAGAGATGGTGCTAAAGAACGAGTCAAAGATATTGTCCAGACTTGTGCTGATGGACATAGTGACTTGAGATTTATATATGTTTATTGGTTAAATAGCACTCCCAGAAAAAGAAATTATGCTCACACTCTCTGCCTTGGGACCACTTCATGATCTGGGTAGGGGTGCAGGCCCATGGGTGTAGCTAGACTACAAGCATTATGGGGTTTCCAGCACAGCTCAAAACCACAGGAATGATGATGGGATAACATTTCTAAGGCTTTACTACGACTGCTGCACAGTTATTTAATAATATCAAAATACGTTGCATCAGCACATACATTGGTTTTAACAATTAAAGAGTTTAAATTGTTTTCCTAACAACATCACTATAAAACTAAGATCTTTCAATAGGTTCTTAACACTCACTGGACAACTTCTACTGCAAGTCATCTCAACTAATGGGACAAAGAGGATGTGGGAACCTTCCAGTAGTCCAGGCTAGGAACCGCCGGACTCCTTCACCTGGGACAAAATTAAGCAGATCACTCTTTCCACTGAAGGCCAGCATATAGTGTCCAGGGCCTCCAGTTCTAGAGCTGCTGACCAGGTACAGTGTCTGCCACAAATAACACGTACACAGAGGCAAAGAGGAAATTCACCCAGGGACTTAGTGCAAACAGAATAAACCTGCAACACTGGAGATGAAAGAACGAGGGCTGCAGAAGAGGGGAAGCCGTCACTCTGGGGTTTGCCTGCACCGTGTTTTGCAGGTTGTATAGGAAGTACTTGAAGCTTACACCTGCATCTTTGGCCACAGATAAATCAGCCTTGGTATTTCTGGGGAATTGCCACCATTCTCGCTAAAACTGTGTGACAAAACCAGTTTACATTCAGCCAAAATAAAAGCTGCTTTTTTTTTTTTTTTTTTTTTTCCCCCCTCTCCTGTGAAGGTAAGTAACCAAACAACAAATCAACCAAAGAGTTTTATCAATGCTAGAGGGCCAGCTCTCTCATCTATGGCAAAAGCAGCCATTCTGAAGAACCTCTTTGGTACAGAACATGGCCCAATCTGTTTCCTCAAGGTAATCTATTTGTGTGTGTATATATACATATATACATATTTATTTATTTATTTATTTATTTACATACAAACAACACAAAAACAAGGAGTTCAAACTGGTGCCAACTCAAATGAGGTCACTTAAAGGCACTGAATAGAAGTATATGAATTGTTCTGATCCACAGGAAAATATGCAAAATAAACACCCCTTTAACACTGTAATTAATATCTTCTAACTTGATTGGGTAATAATGAGGGCCCTTGGATAAAAAGGTTGCCTTCGTAATGTTGGTGGATTTATGAAATACTTATGTACAATTTCTGCAGCTCTCCCTTTTCCTCAGTGTTGCAGGTTAACATATTCAAAGAAATAAAAATCGTATGTTTGAATGGTAACTTAACAAAACCAAAACAAAACCCCACTGCTTTTTAAATTTAGTTATTTTTAAAATAACTTTTGCTGTTTGCTCAGCACAGTAAGATTCCAGGAATGCCTTTCAAACATAGAGATATCAGTTAATACGTGGCTGTGTTTTAAGAAGATGGCTATTCCAGAAGTGAGTGCCCAGAGTGATTAGAATTGGATGCACTGAACGTGGAGGTTGATGGAGAGACTCCCTGTTATTTTCCCTGAGTAGTGGATCCCAGTGAACAGAAGCAGTAGCAGTACCTTATAGAACTGCACTAGGCCGGGAGAGGGTTTGTCTGACATTTCTCCAGAGAGATGCTCAAATTTCCTCAAGCACATGATTCACTTCCTTATTTCTGTCCTTGCTGAGCAAAGCTATTCAGCCTTGACATTTCAGTTTTTATGGCTGGTCAAAAAGATCAGAAAATTCTGTTTGTGTCAACAGTTGTCCCGTGGATAATGACATATTTGTAGGACGTGAGCTTCCTTTACTGTGTCCTACACCTATATTTAGCAACGATTTAGAAGTGACTGGATATATTTAAATGCATTGAAGTGAAAGAAAATGCACTGTTGAAGAGATATCAAATGTGTCAAGGCTCAGGCATATCTCTAAACTGTTAAAGATTAGAAAGGATTTAGGTAGAGGACAGATTATCCCAGATCTGCCTACAGCAAATTTCTTATGCTTTTGTGTGAAACAAGAGGCACAGATCACTGTCAGAGGGGACACTGGACCAGTCTCCAGCAGGCCAGTACAGCACTAGTCAACTGCGCACCAGACACAGCAGCAGAACATACATATACCTTTTTTTTTTTTTTAAATTGAAAGCTCAGAGAGACCATTATGCCATCCATTTATTATTTCAAATATTCTGTAACTGTAAAGCAATCTACAAGGGGCCGTGCCCTTGAAGACATACTGAGGTGCTGCAACAAGGCACATCTCTAGTCTTGTTAAATTTGCATGTACTGAGGTTTTAACCTCTTCAATAGTACTATAAACAATGCGTCAAGCAATATCCATGCAATTTTGGCTGCAGGGATTTGTCTCAGGACTTAGGTTCCTTCCAACGCCCAGGCACATGCTTTCAAAGCCAGTTGTGTTTAGTGAAGACCTGGACATTCTGAACGTGAACTGTTTGGGGTTTTTTTTGCAGATACAGTGAAAGGAGTGAACCCTGGCAGGGTCACTCCTGGAACAAGACTAAGCTATTACTTTCCACTTCGTCAGCTATGGCCAGGTTTCAAAAGGAGGTCAGTCTTGGGGAGCATCCAGCGTATCCCAGCTACCCGGTGTTGCACAACCAGCCACCATTTTCAAGATATTTCAGCAACAGTCTTGACTGTCACCTCTAGAATAGCCACAATTCATCAGAAATTTTGCTGGCAAACTGAATCAGTTTAGAAGTAGGCTTCTAACAAGGATACATGCCAAGCATTGAGATTTTAAGCAAGTTTGAAAACAGCAGCAACACAAATATCCACACCAAGCAGTCAACATAGTATTGAACTATTTTAACAACAGATATGCACAAAGTTTAGTTTGTTTAGAAATCTGCACTTGTCTTCACACCCTGTTACTCCACTCTTTGCCTTAGAGCTTGATTTTCAGCTGGGCAACCAGTCTGGGCACTTTTAGACCCCACTGGCTCCTGCAAGAGCTTGCAGGTGCTCATCCTACCTGGGAAACACTGAGTGCTTGCCAGAGCATGACCCCTTTGGACATCTGACAACACTTTTGCCCTCTATTTTGCTTGACCTCAAGCTTTTTTTTTAATGAAGAGGGTTTGTCCAGTATCTTGGTAACTGTTATGTGAACTTGCTGGCATTTACATGATATTCATTAAGCAGCACCAGTTGGCTAAACGATATGAAAAAAAAACCCTACCAGCAGTTCCAAAATGCTCAGCTTGCTGCCCAACTGCTCTGTCAAGTACTGTTGGTACCCAGTTCTGTTAGTCTCATGTATGAAATGCTCTCACCAGAAAACCTTTTAAGAACAACAGAATAATATACCAAGTGCAGTTCTCAATCCCTCTCCTCGAGGAGCTGCTCTGGCACTTAACAGAGGTCGCTAGGATGAGCCAAACCAAGAGCTGTCCTACTAACAGAGGGGAGGGGAGGGGCGGACAAATGTGACAGATCTTCATGTTAGTGGAGATGAAAGGTACTGACCCAGGGAAGCACATAAGCCCATATTCAGATGCTTTCTTGAATTTGGGCTTTAAGAAAAAGTATTTACAAGAAGGCTCTTAGATAAAAAGCACATCTGCTCTACTGAAGTGTGTCTCGAGCTCAGTTAGAACTCATCCCATAGGTCAAACGTGACTCTGGACTTTTTTCTTTTTTAAAAGGATTTCAACATATTAAAAAAAAAGGATATAACGGGGAAATAAGCTTTATAGATTTAATCCCCCCTTTTTAAGGGCTGCATTTCAAGATTTAACGCTTTTTTCCTGATACCCCTGATACGTTAGCTGGTACCAGGTAAGAGGAAAGGTGTGTGTCCCTCACAGTGCTGCAACAGTCAGGCTTCCTGTGCTGCTCGAGTCTACCTAGATTCCTCCAGCAGTTAAAGTGCAGGAAGCCACTCTGGTACTTGATGACTTGATTCATTGCTTTAAAAAGGTAGCTTGGGAGAATACAGTATCACTTCAGTTTGTTGGTTTCAAGTCTTTCTTGGAGAGGAAACTTCTACAGTTTCTGTTATTCTGAAATGACCTCAGTCATTTTGCCAGCACCTGCACCAGCACTGGGACAGTTTTTTTTGTTCAGTTTGTTGTTGTGTTGTGTTTTGGTTTTTTAATTGGGTTTGTTTTGTTTTAAGACTGGCTATACTCACTCTTAAAATTGTATCTCATGCCTGAGGAAACTCCTGTGACAGAACTAGGGCAGGGACCTCTCTCTCCCCAGGTTACTCTCTTTAAGCTCCACTTGCTGAAACTTCAGATGTACTTAATCTCTAGACATACATACAAAGAACTTGATTAACAGCCAGGACCAAGGAGTCTAAAAGGGCTGGTGCCAGCTTTACCACAGCCTTACCACAGCCAGCCTTGTATTCCTCTTCACTGCTTTTTTCCCTTTCACACTCAGCTACTTCTGTGATTCTGTTTGTGCAGAAGCAATATCAATTGTATTAATTTTGGCTTACATTCCTCCTCCGGTGTGGCAGCCAAGTTAGAAAGGGGAACATTTGATGACAGCTTTAAACCCCCAAACAAACAAACAAACAATAAAAAACCCCACAAACCCACACACAAAAAATCCAAACCAAACCCCCCTCAAGGTTGCTTTCATGGTGAATTCATGCTCCTTGCAAATCTAAATCACTCTCTGCTAACTTGACCAACACTTTCCTTGGCAGAATCATGTTATGAGAAATTAATTGACAGTTATGCTAACATTCAGATTAATAACTTCCTCAGTAAATTTGATTTAGACTTTTTATAGCTTTTTCATTTTAAGGAGGTAAAGGATAACAGTTTCATTTGCAGTAAGTGATCAGAGCAAAATCCTGTGTTAAGTAAAACTGTTTTCAAGCATTTTTCTGGACTTTTTACTACAAAACTACCGAGCAAGTAAGAAAAACCTTATTCTCCACACCCATGCAAGTTGAATATTTTTTTTACCTACCGTCAGCAGACAGATGAGCGTGCCTTTCATAGGCTTTGTTTATTTCTAGAAAAGCTTTGTTCAAAACATTTTCCAAGTTCTCCTCCTCAGCAAGAAATTCTCTGGAAACAAACAGGCAAACAAAAAAATTAAACTTCTTTCCCAGAAAGATATATCTTGATCAATCTCTTCCATAGCCTTATCTCCTCCCTGCATACATTGAATAATGCTGGATTTCAGTGAAAGGGTAGTATGATTGTACTAGTGACCTGCACTGGATGCATAATCCTGTAATTTTGCCATTAGGTAAAATTTCTCTTCCAACTCCCAGGGATGTGACACAGAGATAGAGAAGAGTGTAAGCAAGCTGCCCATCAGCCATCACAGTGACCCCACCTGAAAACAGTCAGTTCACACTCTCTCCATGTTCCCAAACCTTTCCTGGAAGGTGAGTACAATCGTATTTTCCTCTCTTGTCTTTGTGGGCTTGCTCAGTGGGGCAGGCACCCTACAGAATAAGTTGTTCACAGCACGTCTGTTGTAAAGGACTGTCCCTGCAGTCCAGTGTCCCTGCTGTCCCCTTGGGTGAAGGTGCCTACATGACCTAGGAGGATTAGGCACAAGGTGTGTCCCTTTCAGCCCTGAGGAAGGAATCTCTACTGCAATTCTCTTGACACATGTTCACTTGACGCCCACTTACTTAATGTATTTTTCCATGTACTTATGACAGAAGTCTGCCGCTGTCGCCCCACCATGCCCGTCATACACTGCGAAGTACAGCACGTCCTCTGTCAGCTGGGCATAATCAAACCGGTCTTCGTTTTCCTTACGCTTCCCGATATGGCTGGCGCAGCCCACGTTGGCCAGGCTGACCTTGGGAATGGGCTTCCCATACTTTATGCTGGGTGGGAGGAGAATGGGTTCATCGATGCGGTTGTCCCAGATGCCGAAGGTGTCCCATGTGGTGGGCCGCCCGCTGCCATCCGGATCGAAGCGGGAAGCGCGGCGCTCGGAGGTGGAGCTGTAGCAGGCGGCTGCCGGACGCTTCTCCTCTTGCAAGAGGCGGGACGTCAGCAGAGCTCTCCTTCTCACTTGATACCCTCCGTTGCGTACCAAATTAATTAACGTAGCTGTTGACATCACTTGTCTTCACAGAGACTTGTGGGAATAAAAGATCAGGAATGAAAGACGCGCGGTGGCTGGAACGTCTTTGGGAACAAAGAGAAAACTGATCAGGAAACAAGAAGCACAGGAAGGGGAATTTTCAGTTACATCATTCAGGAAACAATGTCACCCTTGGAGCCTGTTAATCACGCATAGCACAGCGCTGCCTTGAAAAAAAACTACAGAGCAATCTGCATGACTCACAGAGAAACAATCCTACCCAGAGCAGCCGGCATCTAACGGGGAGCACTGCAGACAGATCAAGGTAAAGCATTTCTGCGGGCCGCCTGCATTATGATATCCTGAATTTTCACAGGTTGAGGTTGTGATGGAGCAAATGAGAGTGATAATGACTTTGCTCTGTGTCAGCTAAAATAGGAGGAGGTGAAAAAATGAGCTTAGCGTGCACGCTCTTCAAACAGCTCCCAGGGGGGAAAGGCAGGAGAAATATCTTTGCTTAGATTTTCAAGAGTTTTGTCATCTGCCTGCGACATTCAGTTCTGTCACACATGCTGAGGACTTGAAAAATACTTTTCAACACAGTGAAGTAAACTGTGATTTTCTTAGGCTGCCTAAAAACGACCACTAAGAGTGTACCTGTGGACATACACAATTGCCCAAACTGCCCCCCCAGAAAACCCTGTGCGTTTCTTTGCTGTTTTGTCTGGCCTGAAGTTCTCTGCCACCCAACCCCACAATGGGCTTCCTGGGCTAATGCAGGCAAGCACGATCTTCTACTGGCTTCTCAGATGTCTTTTCCAGACAATTAAACACACCACTTCGCTCAGCAGAGATTAAAAAAAAAAAAAAATAAAAATCACTAACGATGATTCATCTAGCGTGCTGAAAAAATGTAGAAAGATTAGCTTATGTAACCTTTTGCAGAGTAACTCCCAACCTGATCAAAGTGCAACAGGCTGGGATGCAGTTTGTAGTAACTCCATGTTGTTGCACAGTAGTAGTTTAAACTGGATGGCTGTAACTAACTACGCTAAATTTTAAGTGAGGCATTTCTAACTTAATTGCTCAAAGTTTGCCAAGAGCAAAATTATGAGTGAAAGGCATTATATGCCATAATAAAGGAATTAAAAATATGCAGGCTCACGGTGAATGCCAAAAACAAAACAAAAGAAAAGATGGCAGGGTGGTCTGACATTACAGAGCAGCAGAGAGCAACACATGCATCCCAGAGACACTGTAATTCTGGGCTGGAGTGCCTTGCCACTGTACTTTCCCCATGTCAATCACAACTACATCTGTAGATCTGAAATATCTGTTAAAACTACTTTTTTAATAACTAGAGAAAATCCAGGTGATTGCAAAAACACGCAGAGGTCATTTAATAAACGGTTGCTTTCGTGGAAAACGTCTGAGACGTGCATTTTCTGGAGGCCTCCATCAAACTTGTCACTCACAGATCAAAGCCTGTTGCTCTACACGCTCTTGGTTTACCTCTGATGCAGTTCTTAGCTGAAAAGTTTCTTTACTTAGCGCTTAGGGAGTAACTGTCAGCTTGATAAAAGGCCAGACACGCTGGGATTCACTGTCATTGCACCAGATACGTGGGGGCTAGGCCCCAGGTGAATGGAGCCGGCCACATGGAATTTTAAGGTTTTCCGTTTTTACTGTGGGGTGACAGCAATGTCACATCCTTCTTTCAGTATACCTACAGGTACTTAAAAACTGATTTCCTTCCGTGAGTTGCTTTTTCTTTTCTGTTAACCTTGACTCCTAACAACAGTGTGTTCACTTCCTCCTGTGAAACACGGCGGGACCAAACTGAAAGCCAGCCAATTAACAAAACCCACGCTCCCTTTCACTTCTGTCAGCTTGAAAGGAGAATGTGAAATGTTAGCTATACTTAGATTCCCAGGATCCACAGCATGAATCAAAGGATTAATCCAAAATCCCCAGCTAATTAATTTGTTTGTTCCCTATCAAATTCAACTCTCAAAGGGCTTTTTTTTTTTTTTTTTCAGGCAAGTACTGATGACGGTTTTGCTTTTCAAGTGTCTCTGCAAGTCAGGAGGAGGAACCTGATCTTTAGTTTCTGTGAAGTCAATAGTTAGGCTTTCAGCTGGACATGGAACAAACAGTCTGGGCTTTCCTAACTGATATGTTTGCAAACGCAGGGCAAAACAAGACTGAGGTATTGAAAAGGTGGGCACTGGTGTTAAAGCCAAAGTCCAAGACAGGCAGTTGTCGATAGAAATCTGCTCTGAGGTGCTCTGATCCTGTTAACCTGTACACACTTAACTTAAAGAAATAGCTCCTGCAGACAGACACAGAAATAGAAAGTTTAAAGCGAATGGAGTGATTAAATGGCAGCTGAACGCGCATGGTGCCCCTTTTACAGGCTGGCTGCTTCTTGGCAGATGGAAATTTTCCAGATTGTGAGAAGGGGGAAGAAAAAAAAAAAGAAAAAAACCCACAAGAAACCCGGAAGAAAGCGAAGACAGAAGGCATGCCTACTGCCCCTGGGGATTAAACGTATTTCAAAAGGAATCTGAAACTCTGGACGCCTGTAAGTGCACTTGCCTGGCGGCCTCCCAAACCCCGCAGCTGTGGGCAGCACTGTACCCAGTGCTTCTGTGGGCAAGGCCTGTCTCAAATCAGAGAGGTTTTTAAAAATTTGTGACAACATAAACTCGCCCCCTGCCTGGCTAATGAACGGCACAGGCAGGAGCGGTTTAACGGGGTTTCCGCTGCTGTTTGCTCACTCGGAATTGGCGCACGGGCGGCGGACGGAGCCAGCGCGGGTTCGCCCCCGAGGAGAGCCCGGCGGAACCGGCCCACAGC